CACACACACACACACACACCCCAAAACAAACAAACAAAAAAAACAGCTTCTCACCGCTCGTTGTCACACAGAGACAACTGAGACAAACAACCATTCACTCTCTCTCATCTAGGGACAATTTAAGTTGCCAGTCAGTCTAACATGCATGTTTTTGGTCTGTGGGAGGAAACTGGAGTACCTGGAGAAAACCCACGCATGCACAGAGAAAACATGCAAACTCCGCCCAGAAAGGCCCCCCCAGTTGGGATTCGATCCAGTGACCTTCTCGCTGAGATGCAGCAGCTCTACCAACTGCACCACCATGCATAAAGTTGTTGGAAATAATTGAGTGCATTGTTATTCCGCATGGTTCTGTTCATACCTGCACTTCATAGGTTCAGTAATAAATTAAGCCTGCTTTATTCTGTTATATTCACGTTGTGTTCCTGAATATTTTATTTACTGGTACACACCTTTAAGGACAGTTTGCACATCTGTTCCGATTAAAACTCATTAAATTGGGTGAACAATGAAAACCTCCTGACCTGAGAGTTTCCAGGACACAGTGTGAACTCTTCAGTCCAACAGACAACAGCGGAATAACTGAATTTGTCAGGCTGGTGGTACTCAGGTCCAGTTCTTTGAGACTGGAGGACTGGCAGCTGAGGACTGAGGACAGAACTTCACAGCTCGTCTCTGAGAGGTTACAGTAACTCAGTCTGAAGAGAAGGAAGAAACCAAAAATATATAGTTAGTGACTGTCAACTAAACACGTCATGTTGACTGTGAGTGTGAAGAACAAAACAGTAGAAACATCTGCCAAAGCAGCAAAGAAAAGTGACCTGAGAGTTTCCAGTTTCCAGTTTGGACTCTGCAGTCCATCACACAGTGGCTTCACTCCTGAATCATGGAGTCTCAGGTCCAGTTCCCTCAGACTGGAGGACTGGGAGCTGAGAGCTGAGGACAGAGCTTCACAGGTTTGCTTGGAGAGGGTACACTCACTCAGTCTGAAGAGAAAATCAAACAAGACTTGGTAACTTTCTTTCATGTAAAAACAACAATAATACTTTCTCAGACAGTCGGGGTTTTTTGATGACTTCATTTACTTTTTTGGTGGGGTTGTGTTTGCAGTTTTACAAGTGTCATTTCTTTAATTATTTTAGTGGCTGCATGGTGTTTGCTGTGGACATTATGTTTTTGTCCTGGCTTTATAAATAAATATAAAGCTCATCGACACCTGTTGTAAATTGTTCATTCCCCTGAACTCAGTGACTGCAGTACAATCAGTGGCAAGGAGGGGGAGCGTGGGTCCATTAACTGTTGAGCTGGATATGATCAGGTGTGCTGCTGAAGAGAAGGAGAGAGAGGATGGAGAGAGGTGGAGGTGCGCGCAGTTCCATTCCGTCGGCGGGACGCTCAGTTGGGTACCCCGCTTGTATAATGGAGGGGAAACAGTGCACTGGTTTACAAGGCTGACACTGATCTGTGCCACATGTGGAAGGGACTAGGTTCATCCAATGCTCCTCACCGCCTCCTGTGTATTTCTCGCCTTTTGTGGGACGTTCCATGCCAGCAGCAGCGTCCTGGGTCAACCTGCCTGCTGAGGAACTGATGATTCCCCAACTTGCCTTTTCCCGTGATGGGTGGTCATGGACCCTCAGGGTGAACTTGTCCATTGGCCGTCCACCCGAACTGCTGACCCATGCTGGACAGTCTTTTGGCTGCCCTCCTGAGATCCTGTGGTGTGCTGGACGCCCACCAGAAACCCTATCTCTTCCTAGATGGCCTCCTGGCTGCCCACTTGAACTTTGACCCAGTGACAGATGGTCTCCTGTCTGTTTGACCATTTCTATGTTCCCCTTGTGTTTGGTTCTAGTTCCTAGGCCCTGTTTCCTATCAGTATTTGGTTTCCTGTTCTTGTGTTTCCTTGTGCCCTCCATCCTTGCAGTTCCTCCCTCCACCTGCCCTAATGTTTTTTTTTTGGGGGGGGGGGGCTTTTCTCTTTTCTGGGACACCTGGGGATGTCCTTGGGGGGAAGGTACTGTAAGGATGGTGCCCTCTGGTGGCTGGTGTCCATTCTTACACTCCCTGGTTTCTCTGCTGATTGTCTGATTGTCTCCACCTTCGTGTCTTGTCAGGTGTGTGTGAGATTGTTTCCCAGTGTGTGCTTGTATATAAGTCTATGTCTTTGTATTCCTCATTGTCTGGGTATCATTTGGTATCGTCCTGTGTTTCTGGTTTCCCCCGTGTCCCTGGTTTCCCTCGAGACATGTAAGTGTTTGCTGCTACGTCAGCTTATTATTTTGTATTATTAAAGTACTTCTAATTTTCTCCCTGGTCCTGAGTCCTGCCTGTGCTACTGGGTTCTGTTCCAAACACAAATCCTGACAACCAGTGCAAGTATGAATGTATTGGGACATCAGGCAGATGACTCCATTTTCTGGATCACTGGCTTAGAAGGCTGACACTGGTTTGTGCCCCATATGGAAGGGACTAGGCTCTTCCTAACTGTATTTCTTTGTTATCGTTATTTTGTTAATTTCCCCTGCTAGTGTGGGGTATTGAGTGACTGATTTTAATTAGACCATATATTATAAATTGAGTTGTGGTAAATGAACATTTGGGACTATTCCTTGTTAAATTATGTTTGTGAAATCTTTTATGTATAACCCTTTTACAGAGCTTAGCTCCTCCAGCCATTTTTATCTATTTTAAATCATTTTCATGAAATGTTTACGTTTGATGAAAGCAGAATTTTTCTATTTTGGCCTCCTGTCCTCACCGTGTTCATGTGAAGGGAAGGTTTAACCTAATTTGTGCAAAAAGCAGCTTGATGCTGTGACTTTACAATACCTATATGTAGATACGTCCAACGGTATCTGTACTTACATAGCTTTGTTGGAGGCTTTGACCACTGGCAGCAGCCTCAGCAGAACCAACTCTGAAGCAGAGTATTTCTTCAGCTCAAACACATCCAGATCTTTTTCTGATGACAGTAAGATGAAGACAAGAGCTGACCACTGAGCAGGTGACAGTTCATCCGGGGAGAGTTTTCCTGAACTCAGAGATAGTTGAATCTCCTCAACTAGAGACCTATCATTAAGTTCTAACAGACAGTGGAACAAATTGATGCTTTTCTCTGTAGAATTATTTTTACTAATCCGATCCTTGATGTACTGGACTGTTTCCTGTTTGGTCTGTGAGGTACTTCCTGTCTGTGTAAGCAAGCCTTGTATGAGAGTTTGATTGGTCTGCAGTGACAGACCCAGGAGAAAACGAAGGAACAAGTCTAGGTGTCCATTTGAACTCTTTAAGGCTTTACTCACAGCACTCTGATGAAGATCATGAAGACTTGTTTTTTTAAATAGTTTGAACCACATAGAAGTTGTTGGTTGTTTTTCTTCCATCAGGTTGTCCCCAGAGTTGATGAAGGTCAGATGGACATGAAGAGCAGCCAGAAACTCCTGAACACTCAGGTGGACGAAGCAGAACACCTTGTCCTGGTACAGCCCTCTCTCCTCTTTAAAGATCTGTGTGAACACTCCTGAGTACACTGAGGCTACTTTGATATCAATGTCACACTCTGTCAGGTCTGATTCATAGAAGATCAGGTTTCCTTTCTGCAGTTGCTCAAAAGCTAGTTTTCCCAGAGACTCAATCATCTCTCTACTTTCTGGACTCCAGTGAGGATCTATCTCAGCTCCTCCATCATACTTAAACTTCTTGACTTTGGTCTGAACCAGCAGGAAGTGGATGTACATCTCAGTCAGGGTGTTGGGCAGCTCTCCTCCCTCTCTGGTTTTCAACACGTCCTCCAGAACTGTAGCAGTGATCCAGCAGAAGACTGGGATGTGGCACATGATGTGGAGGCTTCGTGATGTCTTGATGTGGGTGATGATCTTGCTGGCCTGCTCTTCATCTCTGAATTTCTTCCTGAAGTACTCCTCCTTCTGTGGGTCAGGGAACCCTCTGACCTCTGTCACCATGCTAACACACTCAGTAGGGATCTGATTGGCTGCTGCAGGTCGTGTGGTTATCCAGAGGCGAGCAGAGGGAAGCAGTTTCCCCATGATGAGGTTTGTCAGCAGAACATCTACTGAGGTGGACTCTGTAACATCAGTCAGGATCTGATTGTTGTGGAAGTCCAGAGGAAGTCGACACTCATCCAGACCATCAAAGATGAACACCAGCTGGAAGTCTTCAAAGCTGCACATTTCTTTGGTTTCAGTAAAGAAGTGATGAACAAGCTCCACCAAGCTGAACTTCTTCTCTTTCAGCACATTCAGCTCTCTGAAAGTGAATGGAAACATGAATTGGATGTTCTGGTTTGCTTTGTGTTCAGCCCAGTCTAGAGTGAACTTCTGTGTTAAGACTGTTTTCCCGATGCCAGCCACTCCCTTTGTCATCACTGTTCTGATTGGCTCATATCTTCCAGGTGGAAGTTTAAAGATGTCTTCTTGTCTGATTGTTGTTTCTGGTGTGTGTTGTTTCCTGGATGCTGTTTCAATCTGTCTGACCTCATGTTCATCATTGACCTCTCCAGTCCCTCCCTCTGTGATGTAGAGCTCTGTGTAGAACTGATTCAGAAGAGTTGGGTTTCCTGCTTTAGCAATCCCCTCAAACACACACTGGAACTTTTTCTTCAGATGATTTTTAAGGTTATGTTGACAAACTGCAGCAATAGGTTCTGAATGAACACAAAACATTGGTAAGTAACACTTCATTCTTCTATCTTTATTTATTATTAACTACTTTAAGAATCCATCAGGTTAAATGTTCAGAGAAATTCTCTTACTGCTCTGCAGACGGTCAGCCAGCTCCTCCTGTTTCATCCTCCTCAGGAAGTAAATTGTGATCTCCATGAAAGCCTTTTTGCTTCTTCTCTGCTCTTCATCCTCACTTTCCACCACCTCCTCATCCTCCCTCTGATTCCCTAAGCATTCTGGGTAATCTGTACTCAGAACCTTCTGGATTTTCTTCAGCTCATTCTTCACAAAAGTGACCATGTTGTCCTCTAGATGCTGGAACAGGAAAACACCTGAATAATACATCAGACTGAAATGATTGTGCATCAGATCTATGTTGGATGAACTGACAGTCCACTCGTCTAACTGTTGGATTAGGGTTAGGATTGACTTCTGCCCACTGGTCTACATGTTGGACAGACTTACAGTCCACTGGTCTACATGTTCTATGGACAAATAGTCCACTGATATACATGTTGGACAGACAGTCTACTGGTGTACAGGTTGGATGGACTGATAGCTTACTGATCTACATGATGGACAGACTGACAGTCCACTGGACTGCATGTTGTAAAGACTGGCAGTCATCTGGTCTAAAAATGCAACATAAAGATGACTGAGAAAACAACAGATGGAAAAGTACTTGTTGTACTTGTACATACCATGAATATGGAGTCCATTTGTGTTTGGTGCTGCTGGACAGACTGAGCACTGGGAACATTTGAGTTCTGCTGAACCACTCTGTGGAAGAATCATGAAGAATTAGCTTTCATTCTATCAGGATTGTACAACGTCGACCCCCAAAGTAGCAGACCAAGGAAGCAAGGACACGAGGCAGGTAAAAGGTAAGTGATATTTATTTACAGGTGAAGATAAAACTCGAACAGTTTGTTATTGTTGCAGGAGATGGTTGAGGAGGAGCAAAGAGTGGGATCCTGGGTGTGAGGAGGAATCCAGAGGAGAGTAGCAGGTTGACCCAGACAGAGTGGTGGATGTTG